TGTAGAGAGCAGATCAAAGTGATTCCGGGAAGGATTGCCAGGTTAGAGATTCAGTCTAATTTATTGGAGGAAGTTAAAGAAAAATAAATGGCCGATGAGTGGTGTCAGAGATTAGTGCAGCAAGTGCTTGAGGGCAAGACAATGGAGTTCCACTTAGTTGATGGTGTCCTCTATTTCAGGAATCGGTTGTGCATTCCTCCGAACGATGAGTTGAGAAAGAGAATTCTTTTAAAGGCTCATGACGCACTGTACACTGCTCATCCTGGAGCAACCAAGATGTATCAAGATGTAAAGTCAGGCTACTGGTGGCCAAGTATGAAGAGAGATATTGCAGAGTTTGTAGCTAAATGTCTGACGTGTCAACAGGTAAAAGCAGAACACCAAAGGCCGTCAGGGTTGCTTCAGCCACTTAGTATTCCAAAATGGAAATAGGAGAGCATTTTGATGGATTTTATCATAGGTCTCCCTAGAGTACAGAGAGGTTATAATGCTATATGGGTGATTGTGGATAGATCAACTAAGTCCGCCCATTTCCTTCCAGTAAAGGAGAGTACCACCTCGGATCAGTTGGCTCAGATCTACATGAAAGAGATAGTCCGGTTACATGGTGTGCCCAAGATTATAGTGTTAGACAGAGATTCGAGATTGGTCTCAGCTTTCTGGACTAGTTTACAGAGAAATTTGGGTACCCGTTTGGCATTCAGTATTGCCTATCATCCTCAAATGGATGGCCAAACAGAAAGAACAAATCAGGTGCTTGAGGATATGTTGAGAGCTTGCTGTATGGATTATAGAATGTCATGCCATGAAATGTTACCTTTGGTGGCGTTTGCCTACAATGATAGTTATCAGTCTACAAATAAGATGGCGCCTTACGAGGCTTTGTATGGTAGACGATGCAGGTCTCCATTACATTGGGATGAGATAGGTGAAAAAGATGAGTTGAGTACCGCTTTTGGGCTAGAGATGACTCAGAAGATGATAGAGGATGTAAGATTAATCAGAAAAAGAATGAAGCAAGCCCAAGATCGATAGAAAAGTTATGCCGATTTGAAGAGAAAAGAAGTGGAATTTCAAGTGGGTGATAAAGTGTTTCTAAGAGTTTCCCTTTACAAGCGAGTGATGCGCTTCGGGAACAAAGGGAAGTTAGCACCGAGATTCATAGGTCCATTTGAGATATTGCAATGAGTGGGAAAGGTTGCCTACAAATTGGCACTGCCACCCAGTATGGACAAGGTGCATGATGTTTTCCATGTCTCGATGCTATGGAAGTATGTAAGTGATCCCTCCAATATCCTGAGTGTAGAGGACATTGAGTTAGCAGAGAACCTCATGTATGAGGAACGTCCAGTATAGATTCTAGATCAAAGGATTAAAAAGCTCCGAAACAAGAGTATTCTACTAGTGAAGGTCTTTTGGAGGAATCACAAGGTAGAAGAAGCGACATGGGAGGTAGAACGAGACATGCAGAATCGCTTCCCGGAGTTATTCGTGTGAATTTCGGGGACAAAATTCTTTTAAGGGGGGAGAATTGTAACGCCCCGCTTGAGGTACGTAGTTAAGATTTGTTGTATTACTTAAATGTTCATTGATCCAGTTTCAATTGAGTTTGTATGTTGTTAGTTTTGGTTGAAATTGGTTGAGATTTGAGGAATCTTGGTAGTACAGTCTTCGGCGGGGCGAAGAATAGTCTTTGTCGCGGCGATGTCAGCTCTGTGTTGCGATGTCGATTCTGTAATTTTTCGCCGGGGCGACGGAACTTTCTTCGCAGCGGCAACGGTACGGCAGAAAAGTTTTCTTGAGGTTTTTAGAGCATTCTCCATAGGGGGAAAATGACTATTCTACCCCTAATTAGCAGGAAGAGTGGGGAGTAAAATGTAAGGAAATTTAGTAGAGAATGTGTTGGAGTTGGGGTGTGTTTGTAATGAATTAAAATACAAAGATGGAATTTTCAAGGAAGAGCAAGGGTAAAATGGGAATGTTTGTTTGTAAATTGAGCTAACAAAGAATTATCCCTTCATTTCACCCATTTCCACCGCCATTCTCATTCTCTACTTCCTCTCAATCCTCCATTCAATTTTCCAAGATTTCTAAGGAGTTTTAGGGAGCTTTTGGGGTAATTTTGGTAGAGCTTGAATATTAAGCATCCTAAGGTAAGGATTCTTGCTTTAGATGTGAGTTTTCTTATAGTTGGATTGAAGTCTTATATTGTTGTTATTGTTATTGTTTAAAGTTATAGAGAGAAGACAAGACAACAAGGGAATGGAGAAGTGTTAGAGAAGTCACTTACCCATAAAGTAAGTAAATCCAACTCAAGTTGAGATTTAAGAACTCTTTTGAGTAGAGATTTATGTATGTATGTATATATATTATTTTTATTGAGAAATTGTGATGAGATGGATGGTTATTTCTATTTATTGTTGTATATACTTGAGTTATGAGAAGAGTTGAGATGTTATGATGTTGAGTTGACCTTGAGTTGAGCTTGATGGAAGTTGGAGAGAGTTTTGAGCCAAATCCTTTGGGAGTGTCTTTCTTTGACAGGAACTTAGAGAGCATGAGGGAGTTTCTCCCATTTTGGGATGATTAAATAGGGGAGAAGAGTTATAGAGCAAGTAGAGTTTTATATGCACATGAGTTGTATAATGAAATGCTTGAGTAAGACATGAGTAAGAGTAGAGAACCTTAATTATTGCTACATGGCATAATTGCATTTCATGAGTGCATTAATGAGCATGAGTTATCCATATGCATTAATTGCATTAGAGAAAAAGAGTAGAGCATTTTGAGTGTGAGCTTTATTAAGAGAAAAGAGAGAAAAAAAGAATAGAGTAGGTTGTGCGATGGGGAACTCGTGAGTTATGGGTAAAGTATTCCCACATGTACGCCGCATTGAGAGAGCGGCATGAGTATAAGAGAGCGAAGTGGTGTAGCCCGTGAGAGTGCATGCGGATGAGGGCTATACCCGAGATTACCCGAGAGAGAGTTTATACACTCACATGGCCAAGGGTTCCGAATCCATCCATAACCGAGTCTGATCGGCTAGAATGAGTAGAAGTCACGTAGAACGGGAGCGAGTCCCGGCCGTGACTCCGGTAAGATGAGGCCGTGACTTACTAAAGAGAGTTAATAGAAAAGAGTTATGAGAAAGAGAAATTAGAGAGAAGTGTAAGAGCAAGAGTAAATGAGCATTGTAAGGAAAGAATTAGAGAAAGAGTTACAGGGTTAGATGAGTAGAGGATTTACTTACTGAGCATTGTTTTAGTGCTCACCCCGTTGTTTCCTATGTTTTGCAGGATCTAGGTGAGGACACGGTCGGATGGGTGTCGACAAGCGAAGGGAAATGGCTACACTGTCCACCTTGTTTTTGATAGTTTTGTAAATGATACGAATTTTATATAAAAAAATGTATATGTTTAATGAAAGAAGAATTTGGGCCCAACTTTTTATACTATTTTATATGTATTTTATGATGTATATGTTTTATGGGTATTTGAGTAGAAATCGGCTATTACATCAAATCACATCAAAATTAGGGTTTTTAATCCTTACCTTAAACTCTTCAACTTAAAGATCCAAGGCTCCTGTCTTGTTTTCTTTGAAAAATTATGCAAAACTCCTTTAAAACTTAGAGTGAGAAGGCTTGTTTCATGGAAGATTTGAGAGAAAATGGAAGAAAGGTTGAAGAAATGCTATCTCCCTTAGCTTGAACGAATTTCCTCTCATTTATAGGAAAACATTTCATTTATTTTCCAAAATTATCTATTGATCCAATTATTTTAATTGTATAACTTATAAGTCCTTAATTCTTCATATAAGGGCGTTTTGGTCATTTCGCACTAAACATAATTATTACTTAATTAATGTCATTAAATACAATTAAGCCTACTCATCCTTGACTTTTTCAATGCTTATCCATAGGCAAAATGACTATTTTGCCCCTAATGCCTTTCTATGGATAATTGATTCATATCGTTCCGAATGAATTGACTATTTTGCCCTTAGTTAGATTTTATGTTTTTTAACATAAAATTAACATCTAAATGACTATTTTGAGTTAGGAATATACCTTTGACATCTTGGGTATTACATAGGGTTTAGGAATTGAGCTTGGCTTGCCTTAGGCCACATGGGCTCACCTTGTATGGCTATTTTGACTTAGACCGAATGGTTTTGCTCATCTTGCATGACCTTTTTGACTCGGGCCAAATTTTCATGAGAAGCTATGATTGTTTCTTAGCCTAGGCCGAATTTCCTTGGACTAATTTCCCCTTGGATTCATGGTTATTAGTATCCTACGATGCATGATATGTATCCTACGATACAATTCGATATGGGTTGCTAACGATACGTATCAGAGAGTGTATCCAAAACCTTTCGATAAGTTAATATGTATCCTACGATACGATACGTATCCGTTTGTATCCTTAAAAATATTGATACAAATTGATACAACTTTATTAATTTGAGCCAAAGGCCCAAAACAAATTTCGGGTCAAGTTGAAATAGATAGGGTCAGATCCGGGTCACCCAACCTGGTTCACTAAAACCCACCCAAATTTACCCATTTCGCATGAAGAAAGTGAAGAGGAATATGTGTTGCCCATTTTGCATGATAATAATAACACAAATAGAGATATAGATATTGATATTGATCTTGGAAATGATATAAATGGTTTAGAGGAAATGATATAGATTTTAATATTGTGATTAATTTTGATTATGTAATACCATAATTTAAAACTAATAAAATCACAAAATTCATTCATTAATCTTAGGGATGATATTAATTTTTAGAAAATTTTTATTTTTTTTAAAAAGCATATCTGACAACCATTTGGATTTGTCTTGATCCGCGCGAAGGTTGGTGGACATATTTGCATCAATTCATGTTAAAATTTTAAGTTAAAAAAATTATTAAAATTACAACTTATAACTCATAAAGATTAAAGGATGTCTATAGTTTAAAAGTGAAAATTAGAGGAGTTGAAAGATATTTATCTCTCAAGCAAACTCTAAAACCCCCACCAAACAAGATCCAACACAACAACAATGGCTCCCAAATCAGAACAATTACAGAGCCTCTCTACACAAGCAGATCCTTCGTCTTCATCCATGGACCCTTTCTTTCACATACTGAAGATCCTCCCCTACTCCATTATCCGCCCACCCAGGCTCCGCCTGAAGCTCCCCTCTTTCACTCTCCCTTCCCCGATGACCGTCTTTGCTCTCGTTCTTCTCACCTACTTCATGGTGGTTTCAGGGATCGTTTATGATGTGATTGTAGAGCCTCCAGGCATCGGGTCCACCCAGGACCCTGCCACGGGGTCGGTTCGGCCAGTTGTGTTCCTCCCGGGACGCGTCAACGGTCAGTACATCATCGAGGGTCTCTCGTCTGGGTTCATGTTCGTGCTTGGTGGGATGGGGATCGTGCTCTTGGATCTGGCTCTTGATAAGAACAGGGCTAAAAGTGTGAAGGTTTCTTATGCCTCTGCTGGGATCTCATCCCTTCTTATCGCTTATGTTATGAGTATGCTTTTTATTCGTATTAAGATCCCCGGTTATATGAGGTGAATTTTCGGGTTTCTTATTTGGTTGTTTTGGATTCAGAATTTTAGTTTTCATATGCTATAATTTGCTATGAATAGATTATCAATTATCAGTTTATCTTTCTGTTGATTTGATACTTTTTCAAAAGTAAAGTAGTAGTTTTGCCATTCTCTTTGTTCATTTTGTCTGCCATTTTGTTTATGATGCATATTCTTTTGCTTGCTAAATCTTTTTCCTTTACGCGTCAGCCCACTTGTCTTCAAATTAATTTTCGCTAAAACATTTCTTTACGTGATGTTAAGCGTGCAGAGCACTATGTTATTGTGGCTTTTGTACTAAGATCCCGGGTTATATGAGGTTATTTTGAGGTTGCTTAATGGATTGTGTGGATTAAGAATTTCAATTTATGCGTTAAATGGCCAGGAATAGATTATCAATTATGGGTTTATCTTTATGTTGATTTGATCATTTTTCAAAAAACAAGGTAGTAGTTCTGTGATTCTCTTTGTTCATTTTGTCTGCCATTTTGTTCATGATACATATTCTTTTGTTTGCTAAATCTATGTTATTGTGGCTTTCATCAACTCTTGTCGTAGTGTGATGGAAAATTATAGAAAGATCACTGGTTATATACTGTAATTTCAGAGTCATGAAGATGAAATTTGTGCTTGTAATATGTGGCTTATTGGTTAGGATTAATAAATTCAAAATCCTAAGTTGATTGATTTATGGATGTGAATTGTATTGGTGAACGTCTAGCTTCTAGAGTTTGAATCTCTTCCATGTAACGTTTGCCATCGATTCGAGAATTAGGTTTGTTCAGCCAGATTCCAAAATTATTGTAGGATATACTAAAAAGCTAGGGATCTTCAGAAATTAAGAAGTAATTGTTTGTTGTTGTCCACAATAATTGTGAATAGTGATGTGTGAGAGAACAAGAGGGAAGTACTTGAATAAGAAATGTGCAATAAGAGATTACTTACAACTCTTTTAGTAATATACTGAACTGAAAACGAATAATACAGACTTTATCAGTGTGGTTGACTCTATATGTATGTACTATTAAATTTATGTAAAAAATGAGTAACCCCTTCTCCCATGGTTGCATCACTTTGTCGGTGTGGTTGACTCAATATGTATGTACTATTGATTCAATTTGTTTTATGAGTTCAAAGAAGTTCTTCTTTTTTTTTTTTTTTTTTTTCTTAAAGAAACAAACATTTTATTAGAGCAAAAAGCTTTACAATAGGAATTGAACCGGAGATCCATCTTTACAATTCAAAGTTTCAATTTTGTAAAAACTTGAAATACACAAATATTGAAACTTAGATAAACAAACTGTTATGAAAATTGAAGTTATGTATGTTAGCTTATGTTTTAAGGCTTTGATCACAGTTTATCTTCTTTTTTAAAACCAATCATACCGTATATGATGCCATTTATCATACAGTTTAAGGAGCTAGGTTGGGAAAGAACTGATGGGAACAGAGCCAGTTAAATCTAGTAGATATTTACAGAGTTGCTCTGTTTTAAAATATGGATATAGTTATTTATGTGCTTTTAGAATGCTATTTACTTCCATCATGATCCTCAGTCTTTCCTTAGATGGGTGAAACTGTACTGTGCTGGTGTGTTCGAACTGCTTGTCTCTTGTATTGGATTTTGTATGGATATTGACCTTTATTTATTTATAAGGATATATAATGAGATTTTGAATATTTTGGTTAATAATTTTTTAGTCTAGTTTATTATGGTTTATCTTCAATAGCTGCAATACCTTCCATCATTATTGATATTTTCCTTTTATGTTTGCGTTATGCTATTCCTTGAAAAAAAATTTGTTCTGCGTACAAAGTGGTCTGAAAAATCTTTTAAGGAAGCCCAGACTCGAGCAGCCATGAAGTTCTCTGTTTCAGGATGTTTGCTGTGCATGTCATTTTTCTGTTTCGTTGAACAAATTGGCAGTTAAGGGTGCCAAAATTCCTGGTGGCCTGTTTGGGCTGGGAATGAACTGCAAAAATCTGAGGAATGGTCAGGGACGGGAGTGGAATTTCATTCCCAAATTGTTTTCAGGCCACGAATAGGGATTGATGTCCCAGCCCAGCCCGAATCCCCGGATTATGAAAAACATTAAAGGTGCGTTTGTTTCGGGGGGACATAAAAGATAGCACTGGTAATCTATTTTATTTTTCGAAAATTATTATGTTTGGGTGTCAAGTAATGAAAGATTACGATAAACTTTTAATATCAATAGTAGTTACTGTAGGTAAAAATGGGGATAATTTGATTACCGTATAAGAGGGTGTTATTTTTTCATTATTGGTTAATCAACTGTTCATACCAATTTTACTTTTAATTAAATATGTCTAATAAAAAACAATTATCTCAAATGTGCGAAATGATTTTTTTAATCTCATATTATTTTTTAGACAGAAATACTCTTACTATTTATATGGATAATACTCAAAACACCCTTAGCCACCTAAGATAACTGTTGGTCGTCAATCACCATTGTCGATAGTCATCAGAATGGTACACGATTGGTTGTGCTGTTTTCGATCAGATTGAAGATTGGTTCAAATCTTGCAAATCTCAACCACACTCGGCAATCTTCTTCATAAACTAAATCAATCCACCGCCAATCCAACTTCACGAAAATTGGTTAGTCATTTTTCAATCATCAATTCTACCCGTAACATCAACAACAAAATCAAAAGAAAAAGAAATTAATTTGCGAAACTAATCCACATCCTAAATCAAGCAAACACCAATCCATTACCACAAACCAAAATCAAACAAATAAATTCAAAAAAATAAATCAAAAGCTCAAAACCCAATAACTTAAAAACTTTGAAGATGCAGGGAAGCTGTTAGTCTAGTCTCAGTCTTCAGCTTCAGTCTTCAGTCTTCACGGCTTCACAGCTTTAGTAGCTTTAGTCTTCAGTCAGAATCCGGCCGATCTGGCTGGTTGGCTAGATTGGGCTGCCAAATAGTGGCAACTAGAGGGAGTGAACGGGGGAAGAGGAAAGAAATGAAAGGAAGAGAAAGAGAAGAAGGAAAGAGGAGAAAAAGAAAAGATAAGGAGAGAGGGGGGCATGAGAAAGGAGGAGGAAGAAGAAGAAAAAAAGAGAGAAATGGAGATAAAGAGAAACAAAGAAGAAGAAGAACTGGATTTCGGAACTTTTGTCTTAGATTTAGGAATTTTGAAAAACCGGTTTCTCAAATTGGCTGAAACCGAACCGGTTTAAAAAAAAAAAAAAAGGGTTTTTTGGTTTTTTTTTTTTTTTTTTTTCCCCCACTTCTAATAGAATCCATTAAAATTATTTATGCAAAATTATGTTCGAATTTAAAGTATTTCATGAAAAAATTTAAATTAACTTTAAATTGTATAAATAAAAATCATATTATTATTTTCAATGCTATATGTTTTGATTTACAGTTAGCAGATTAATAACATAAAATGTTATAAATAATATTGTAAAGTATTATAAAACAATAATACTTTTTATTTAATGTGCATTATTCTATAATATTATGCCACATCACTTTATATAGAGTGATATTATACAAAGAAATCATACAAAGATTTTTATATAAAGTGATAGGGAAGAAAATGAATGAAAAAGTAAATTTGATGAGTTTGACTTTTTACATTAATTATTTCATTCATTTTTTATCACATTATTTTGTATAAAAAATTTTGTAAGTTTTGTTTATACATCTAACATTATTGCAATATTATAATAAAAAGTTCAAAGTCAATAGATGCTAAAATATTTATTTTGTTGTTTCTCACTACGATTTGAAAGAAGAGAACTAAGTTAAAAAAAAATTAAGAAAAGGATAATTATGGAATAAATTAAAATATATATTTTTAATTAATTTTGGGGCTTGTAAAGAGTTTGAGTGGGGCTTAAATAGCACCACTCGACCAAGTCTCTTTGTAAGCCGCATTAAATATTTTCGATTAAAAACATTTTGTAAACTTGAGATTAAACAAAAAGGAAAAAAAAAAAAAAAAAACCAAGTCTCTTTGTAAGCCGCATTAAATATTTTTTATTAAAAACATTTTGTAAACTTGAGATTAAACAAAAAGGAAAAAAAAAAAAAAAAAAAAAGCAATTATGTCCAAGCATTTCCAAGTAGATCATACAACTAGACATGGGGTCCGTATGTTGCGTGGATATATTTATTTAATATTTTTAAAATAGGTTGTAAACAAATTTATTCTAACAGAATAAAATAATTAGATTAAGAGATGATAATTGTTAGATTATACAAGTTGTAGAGTAAATATAATTTCTATATATGTACATAGTTGAGTTAACATAAAATTAATAATTATACCTTTATAATCATTAATATCAATTAATATTATAAAGATCAATTATTTGAATTTATATTGAGTTCATTCTCACGTTTGACATTGATTGGTAAATTTTTTTCTTACAGTATAGGATTCTTTCCAACCAAGGTTTGAAAACAGACTAACTTCCATCTTTATACGTTTTTTCTTGAAAATTGTTATATTTTTGGAATGCCTATGTAATGTACTTATATAATTATTATTAGTACTCATCCAATGTGTGAAGATGGAAGAATTAAATCAAAACTAATGTGTTATGATGGAGAACAATTTTCAATCAATTAATGAGTAACACCAAAATGAAGATAAAATTGAATATAGAGAATAACACTTTTATTATAAAAGAAATACGTACATCGCTTTTTCATATTGTGAAGTGGGTTTGGACGATATAAACTTTATTTTCTATTTTTCTTATAGTTGCTCAGTTCCTCTAGTGCATATGCATGCTCTCTTTTGTTTAGGTTATAAATAATATCGATGATAGATTCCATGATTTGTAACATCTGGTCAATAATTTCTCTGAATTTGTCTCTTGCAGTATATAGATCATCTAGATTGCTCTCAACTTTTTTGAAAATCTCCCTCAATTCCAGCATTCCCTGAAAAATGTCTAAACCAATTGCATAAACAGTATACAATCAAATTTTATAAATATATGGAAACGGTAATATGAATGTGTAAATATAATTATGAGATGAACTCTTGACATATCAAAAAAATTTTTTAATGGTTTTTATATTCTCGCAAATACGTATCATTGTTTTGTT